TCCCCTAATTGTTGTTTTAGGCAATAAACGAGGCGCATAAGATATTCGTGTTTTTGTGACATAACGTTCACGGTCAACGGCGGAAGTAGAGTACACATTTTTCTCGAAATAATTTCTAGCATATTGAAGTACTTCAGACAAGCCTTTCTCACATACTGTTTCTCTCAAATAATTCACATTTGAAGATGGTCTTGAAGTCCTTATGACGCACTGTCTTTGCTGACTTTTTTAATCTTTGAAAAATAGTACCTACTTCCTATTGTTGGCACCTTGGACACGCTGCTATACTCTCGCCATTACTATTCAAATCGCCCTAAGAGATACGCGTACGAGCGTGATTATCCTCGATGCTCAGAGGAAATTTAGGGAAAAAGCTTGTTGAAAGCGTTCCCAAACACGCTTAAAAACAGCATTTGGATTTCAAAGTTTGGCGGGTTCAAAAGAGGTTCACAAACGAAACATCTGCTAAATTGGGCTGTACATTTAGAGCCTTAAAGATCTGTAAAATTTCAGTATTCAAATAGGAAATAGTGACTTGCAGGTTTTTACCTATAATCAACAAGAAAGGAACTTCGACAAATTGAGCATGTTCCAAATGCGTCCATAGAAATTCAGCAACCTAAAGCATATTTAGAATTGTCATTTTCATTGTGTTCATGAAACATACTGTACCTCGTCCTCTCCTCCAGCAATGATTAATTGTCCAACTTTAATAGAGTCACGTCGTAACCGTCCGGATTTCCACCTTCTATATTTCCTCTTAAGACGATGTTTGAACTTGATTATCTCTATATAGAACTTATTCATGAACTCGGTGCAAAACTTGGCCTAAATGTTGTCATTGGTACTTCTGTAGTCTCAAGTAAGATCGAGAAGAGGTTCTCACAAGGTCAGCCAGTGTGATCAAGTACAGAGGGATACCGAAAAATAAGTAGACAAGGCAGAAAACTCTCCCTATGTATGAATCGGGTGCATCTGTACCGTATCCTGGAAATAAATAATAATCTTGTCATCACTTTTGGAGATTCTCGAACTAGAGTTGTCAGAAAATTCACAATTTCCTCGAATTTCTATTTACGGTTTATTTCTTACTAACTAAGCCAAAGACAACGTTTTAGCATAGCCAAGACAACATTTCTGCGCTGTCTTTATCGTGCGACCGCACCAGACTACCGTGCTTACGTATATATGTAGTAGTAATTTGCGTACAAAGTCTTAGCTAGCGAATTGACTAAGAAGTGCACCAACGCCGGCAAATCTGTCTTGCGTATCTGCCCAGCCTTTCTATTAGGATTTGTGAAGATGTTTCTCTATTGGAAATGAGTTAAGTCTGGAAACTACCTTAAAGTATCAATTTCAATGCCGAACTGCAATGTAGGGGCGTAATTGTGAGAGACTAATCAGTGTTAACAATAATTTTCAAAACTAAAGTTTTGCATTACTTATTACATTACTAAGGTTTGGATTAAAGCTGAATTTTTGAGCACTCTTTTAAGCCAAATAAATGCAATCGCATGAAAAAAACTTCACAACTTGTAGAGAATCGCTTGGAAGGTACCGAAAAAGATCTGCAATAAGCGTTTTGCGATATACCCGGTGTATACGCTTTTTTGATCGCCTCTCCCAGTAGGATTCCCATCCCCTCTCTCCCTCCTCCGTCCCCTACCTCCCCCTCACACCTTATGCTGATATCGCGTGGTGAAAGCAAGTATACAAGCACAACTTCTTCTGTACATCATCTACTATTTCCTGACGTGAATAAAACGCATCATAAGTCATGATCGTCATCTCATTAGGATGATTACTACCAAGCTATCCACTGTCAAGTAATCCGAACCTCCTAAGATGATATTTTTCGCTGGTATTATTGATG